GAGGCCGATTTCTAAGTGTGGAGCAATCTTTCTGCACCTTATCTCTATTATCCTTGGGTCTTTGTCTCCCATTTTGCTACTTTGTATTCCACAAATGAGTTCAGTCCTTCTATATCTGTCTCTCTCTGATTCATTTACTTAGCATGATAATCTCCATGTCGATCCACTTATTTGCAAATTTCATGACTTCATCTTTTCTAACAGCTGTATGGTATTCCATTGTGTAGTTGTACCAAAGTTTCTTTAAGCAGTCATCTGTTCTCAGGCACTCTGGTATTTTCTAGATTCTTTCTATTGTAAACAGTGCTGCAATAAACATACAAGTTCATCTACTATGCTTTTTTGCATCTCCGGAATATATTGCCAGAGTGTTATTGCTGGGTCAAATGAGAGCTCAATTTCTAATTTTTTTTAGAAATACCCATACTGTTTTCCAAAAGGGCTGAACCAGTCGGCATTTCCACCAGAGTGAAGGAGAGCCCCCTTCTCCCCACATCCATGCCAGTACCAGTTGCTTTTGTTCTTTTGGATATGTGCTGGTGTCTGTGGTGTGAGATGATATCTCATTGTTGTTTTGATCTGTATCTCCCTGATGATTAGTGATGAAGAGAATTTTTTTCATGTGCCTTTTGACCAAATTGATTTCTTCTTTGAGAAAGTTTCTGTTCATTTCATCACCCCATTTTTTGAAGGTATTGGATGTTTTCTTCTTGTAGAGTTCAACCAATGCCTTTTATGTCCTTGATATTAACCCCTGATCAGATGGGTATTGGATGAATATCCTTTCCCATTCTGTAGACTGCCTTTGTATTCTGGTCGCTGTTTCTTTTATTTTTTTTTTAATTTATTTATTGAATCACAGTGGGAAAGTTTACAAAGCTTTCAGGTTTAGGTCTCAGTCATGCAAATATCAAACACATTTCCCTTTACCAATACTTATTTTTTACCATGAAGAACCCCAATAAAACCCCACCCCCCCACCCCTCCCAGTCCCTGTGAGGCAGATGAATTCTAGTTAACACTCTATCTGCTTTGATTAGATTCATTGTTTCAATAAAAGATTCACAACTATTATTTAGAGTTTACCCCCCCCAAATCAGACATGCTGAAAAAGCATTGTGAAGTGATTTGCTTTCTACAGCTGGTTTCAAGAATTAAATGTTGGTTTTGGATTTCTGCTATTTTACCTATTGACCCTGGAAGTATTTCTACTGAAAGTCAGATAGTTAAGAAATTGGTTTCTGTGTTCTGGAGTCGTGGCCGTGCTGGAGAGCTGCTCGTGGGGGGCAACTGGTGGCCTCGGTAGGGCGTGAAGGGCGGACCGAAACGCCCCCCTTCCCATGAGGTTTTAGTCGCTCCCACACCCCCGGCTCATACCTGCTGTCCACAAGGCTCCCATGCGGCCGCCATCCTTCTTTCCAGAGAGAAGAGGGCGAATGGGGCAACACCCTTTCCCCTCCGGCAGACTTGATGGCCTGGGTTAACGCATAGTCCGTTCACTTTTCTTTAAGGTACAGAAACTTTTTAATTTAAGATAGTCCCATTTGTTTATCTCTGTTTCTACTTGCTTGGTCTGTGGCATGTCATCTTTGAAGATATCTTTAGCTTCGATATTGTGGAGAGTTTTTGTGACCTTTTATTCAATGTACCTTATGGATTCTGGTCTGATGTTGAGGTCTTTAATACATTTTGATCTGACTTTTGTGCATGGGTTAGGTAGCGGTCTGAGCCCATTTTTTGGCTTGTATCTGTCCAGTTTTGCAAGCACCATTTGTTAAAGATGATTTCCTTGCTCCACTTCACATTTCTTGCTCTCTTATCAAAGATTAGATTTTGGAATATTTGAAGGTATATGATAGTATACAACTACACAACAATTCAACCCTGTTCCATTGGTCTGCGACTCTGCCTTTGTTCCAATACTATGCTGTTTTTATTATTACTTATTGTAGTAGAGTTTAACATTGGGAAAGGTGATGCCTCCCATCTTCTTTTCCCCAAGAATTGCTTTAGCTATTCGTGGGGGGTTATTGTTCCATATGAATTTTAGGAGTGTTTGATCCATTTCTTTGAAGAATGTCATGGGCATCTGTATAGGCATTCCATTGAATCTGTATAATCCTTTGGGGAGTATTTTCATTTTGACTATGTTAATTCTCCCAATCCATGAGCAGGGGATATGTTTCTATTTCCTCGTGTCCTCTTTTATTTCGTGGAGTAGCTTGTTGTAGTTTTCTTTGTACAGGTATTTTACCTCCTTAATTAAGCTGATTCCAAGGTACTTGATTTTCTGAGGCATTTTTGGGAATGGGATTGCTTTTCTTCTCTTTCTTCACTTCCCACTCACTCATTGTTTGCATTTAGGAAAGCCATGGACTTTTCAGTATTGATTTTATAGCCTACGACTTTACTATACAAGCCTATTGTTTCTAGGAGCTTCTTGATAGAGGATTTAGGGTTCTCTAGATATGGTATCATAACATCTGCAAATAGTGAGAATTTAATTTCTTCCTTTCTTATCTGAATGCCCTTAATATCTTTTTCTTGCCTAACTGCTATTGCAAGTACTTCCAGTACTATCTTGAATACAAATGGTGAGAGTGCATATCCTTCTCTAGACCTTATCTTGGAGAGAAGACTCTTAATTTTTCCCCATTGAGGATAATGCTTGCCATAGGCTTCTGGTAGATGGTTTTGACTACATTGAGAAAAATTTCTTCAATGCCCATTTTGGTGAGAGTTTTCATCATAAACAGGTTTTGGATCCTGTCAAAAGGTTTCTCTATTGATATGATTATAAGGTTTTTATCTTTTCTTTTGTTGATATGATGGATTATGTTGATTGATTTACAAATGTTAAACCATCCTTGCATCTCTGGGATGAATCCTACTTGGTCATGGTGTATGATCCTTTTGACAAGTTGCTGGATTCTATTCACTAATATTTTATTGATGATCTTCACATCTGTTTTCATCAGGAATATCAGCCTATATTTTTCTTTTTCATGGTGTCTGTTTGCTTTTGGTACTAGCCAGATATGTGCCTCATAGGAACTGTTTGGGAGAGTTTCCATTTCTTCAGTTTCCTGGAAAAGCTTAAGAAGGACTGGTAATAGCTTCTCGTTAAAGGTTTGGAAAAAATTTGCTGGTGAATCCATCTGGACCTGTGCTCTTGTTTTTGGGAAGACTTTTGATTACAGTTTCAATTTCCTTGATAGTAATAGATCTGTTCAGGTATTCGGCAGGTGAGTTGTTACATACCCCTTTATTAAACTAAGTAGGCTAATTTTATGTCTGCACTGTTTCACAACACTCTTATTTTTAACCAGGCAGGATGTCTCTCAACCAGTACCTGCCAGTCCTGGATGTAAGGGATCTGGTCCAGGTATCCTCCGGTCCTGGAAAGAGTACTTTGCCTATAACTTTTTAGAATGGCCCCCAGATCAAAAGTACCTTCAGCTAGTCAGCTAACATTGAAGACTGGCCATTCTTCAGAACAAAGAGTTATTATCAGTTTTCTTTTCTTCAACTGTACTGAGAGGCTTCTGGCCCTAGTTCTGAAGTCGCTGAAATGGTAAGCACGAGAGAAAGTGGAGTTGACTGGTTCCGACCCACGACTAAGTGATGAAAAAGGGGACCGAAAACCCCGAGACTGAGATGAAGACAACTGACACAAAAGGCAACTAGATAAACAGGAAATGATGAAGCCAAAAACAAATTGTCTGACAGCATCCCTCCTTGTGTCCCCGCCTCTCTGTGTGTCCTCACCTAACACTGCCTGATAGTCCTGTCATGACTTATCTGGCCGGCATCCAACACCCTCGATGTGACTACTTGGGGGCAGTGGGAACGTCTCCCACACTCCCCAACCAGCGACCCTTCAGTGCGTCCACCTAGGTCCTTTGTTGGTCCTCTGTCCCGGGCCCTACTCCAAGATCCTGGATCAGTCCAGTCCTTGATCAGGAGCCAGGGCCACTTCCTGCGGCCAGTCTCATTGGTTGATCTCTAATCAACCCGGCTGCCTAGGTCCCATGTCACTGGCAGAGGATCAAACTGTGAATGGAAATTTCATGGGGACAAGAACCCAAATTTTATTCAGGGTCTTGGGTTTCCTGTTCAAAGAGAGACCAGTTCCACAAGTGAGAATGAAAAAGGAAAGGAACCTTTATTGCTAGCTCAAACCATTGCTAGCTTGAGCTAGGGTCCAAGTCTCATCCAGCCCAGTGGAGTCTTGACAAGGACCGCATCCCCCCCACTCCAATTCTCAGGAGGTTTATATATGTTTTGGTTACAGAAGCATTACAACGTCTGTTACAGAACATTTTTTCTACAAACTAACAGGTTTTTTCTAATATGGCTATGTGCTGGGTGCAGGGCGCTTGCTGAATAGTTCCAACCACCTTCCAGACTGGGAGACTTTCTACCTAGGTTGTGGTTTGATGCCCTTGCCTGTGGTTTTGGGGTTTACTTTCATTGGTACCAGTCCCCTTCCCCTGGGAAACTGAAACTTAAGCTTTGGGTTACCCGTTTCCCTTTAACTAGTTTCTTAGCGGGACAAGAGCCTGTTCTGGCGTTTCTCTTGTCTTCACGGAGGAAGATCCTGCTTCAAGATCACCTGGAATCAGGGATCTCACTCAACCAATGTGAGTTGCCAACACAATCACATGAGGTGGGGATGAGAGGAGACTTTGCAGACCCTGCATAGAGATGGCCCGGGGCTCAGCGACCCCCACAGGGCAATGCTTCGGTCCCAGCCCTAGCCCAATTCCAGTGGAAAACTTGGGGGAAAAACTGCCAATTCCCTTCTGATCTCTATTTCTGGGAATCTCTGGATCTGGATGAGGCCATAATGGGGCAGATGACAAGAAGCTAATATGGACAGAGGAAACCCAAAGCTTAAGTTTCAATTTCTCAGTGGGGACTGTTACAGGAAGAGAGGGAGGGGCCTTCAGGAGCTACTTAAGGTCTGAGTCCCACACTCCCTGTTCCCCTAGGCTGATTGATGGGCAAGATGAAGACTGTGGCACTGCTGCTGCTGCTAGCCTTTCAGTGCCTGGACGGAGGTGAGTAGGGGGTGGAGGGGATGCAGAGAGTCTGTGGTGGACCTTCCAAGTTGAAACTCTCTCCTCCCAACTCACCAGCTCCAGAACAGCTTCTAGCCATGTGTCTCCTGGCTCTGGTGCTGAGTCCACGCTCCTTCATGACTGTCGGGTGGAGCCTAAATCTTTCGTTTTGTGTTTCTCTCCAAATCTCTAGTCTGGGCTTTAAAATGTCACACTTGCCTTCCTGATGCTGAAACATGTGCTGGTCCAGTACAATGCTCACCGGAGCATAAAGCCTGCCTTCATGAGACAGTGAGTAAGTGATCTGCTCCAGGAGAAGCCAAGAGGCTAGAGAGGTGGGGTGTGGGGCAGGAAGCGGGGAGGGTGGGGTTAGGCAATACTTCCTGCCAAGGAAAGTAGGGCTTCCCTTGCTCTCTGAGAAACCAAAATGGAAAAGGGATCCCTGGGAACCTCCTTACACATGGCTTTTGTGGGTGAACTAGATGCCAGCCATCACTCCAAGTGTTCAGTTGCTCTAGGTAACCACTGCGGGCAGGGATGCTCCTCCATGGTCCTACAGCTCAGAACCCTTCTCAGAACTGTTAGTAGTTGAGGGGATGGAGACATACCTGATGTTGGGGGAAAGTCACAGGGTATCACAGGACACAGATTAGGTACAACACTGAGTCCCAGGAGGGGTCTACCATGGGCCAGGTCAGGTGAACCTCCCTCCAAGACACCACCACTATATCTTTTCCCATAACAGCTATCACAGAGAAACAAACAATGATCAACCATACGAAAGTGATTAAGACGTGTGTGAAATCCTGCCTGAGTCCTGGTAATTACAAGAGTGAAGAAGAGAAAATCTTAGACATCCTGGAGTTCAGCGTAGATCTCAATTGCTGCACCACTGACCTGTGCAATGCGGCACCAAGCCAGGGCCTGGGGGTCGCCACCATAGGGATGATTCTCCTGGCCCCATTGCTGGCCACATTTCTGTGGGACTTCCCTGACTGTTGAGCCTTAGGAGCACAAAGGAGGCTCCAACAGCTGCCTCAAGTGATGTACTCAGGTTCTGAGTCTTCTGCAACTTGTGTGGATTACAGGATGCCCCTCTCCCAGCCAGGGAGTAGCAAGTAGTTGACTGATCCCAGATGGGACCAGCTGCCCTCACCCCCAACTCTAAAATAAAACTCATTTTCCTGTCTGGGAGCTGCTGTCTTTGTGCTGTTGTGGTGTCATACTGGTGAGGGGTCATGGGCACCAAAGTGCAGTCTTGAGGGACCAAAGTGTTACAGAAAGTACTGAGTGGTTCTACATGGACAGGATGGCCCCAGGCAATGGCATCAGATAGTCTGTCGGCCTCAATCTACTCAGGTCCAGGGTCACAGTCTTGTCCACTGTTCAGATAGCTACCTGGGAGCCTCAAGTGAAACCTCCAGTTCCGTAGGATGGCTCCCTGAGAGATCTGGGGGACACCTAGCCTGCAGCAGGTGACAATATGGGTCATTGGTTTACTCCATAGAATGCTAGAACTGGAAGTCTCATATCTGAAGTGGGGGGGGGGTTGGAAGGGGAGACATGAGGGTTAAACATTTTATTCCTGTTCATAGGAGCCATACCTAGGATTTTTTAGGGGCTGGCTACTCCTGCCTCTGTGCTTAGGGAACTGGGGGTTGGTCATTTCCAGAGGTGTTCAGGGGACCATGAAGTGTTGAAAATTGAACCCCGGTCCCCGCATGTTGGGTGTAACCTGCAGTGCACTAAGATCTCTTAAGCTACAATATGTCTGAATCTGAAAGCACCTGGGATAGAAGGAACCATGGAGCTTGTGTCGCACCGCAGGAGAGAGATGGGGCCGCACTCTCAAGGAGCAGCAGTTACTCACAAATTTTCCCCACTGGCTGATCTGCACAGTAAAACAAAAAAGTAGAAGAGTCTACACATGACTTCAAGATTTGCTGTGGGCACCCCAATATGATGAATTTCTGAGAGTCCCTTCTGACTATCTGCTCCACCCACAGCCTCTGCCCATCATCCTATCCCCTGGGGTGATTGGGCCATCCCTGTATCTCAGCAGTTCATGATGCTGAAAACACATTTCCTGTTCATGTTCAAACACACCTCATATCCAGCCCAGTTCCACTGACTGGTCAACATGCTATTCACAAAGACACATGCCCATTTACAGAGCACATTCACATTCACAAAGCACATTCACAAAGGCACATGCCCGGGTCCAAGGGAAGAGCACAAGGGAACAGGAGGGTAGAGAATTTGCCCTGTATACATATGGTTACAAGTTCAAACCTCCAATGTCCCACAGAAGCCAAGCAGCACTGCCGTTAGTGCCAGTGCCAGCTATGTCCTTGATCTCAGGCACACAAGAGATTTCTGGCTACACCACAACCATATGTGTGAACACACGACAGAAGGGGCACAACCCTTGGAAAGCACCACAACTAAAAAGGATGACGGAGCACCACAGTCAAGAAATGTAAATGCTGGCATGCTGACCCTGGTGAATTCCACAACAATCATCTGTGTGGCTGGTGAGAATGTGTGCAACCAATCACCACAACAAAGGAGTAACAACTTCAGGGAGCCTGTTGTGTAAGCACCACCGCCAGCTGGGTGAATCCTGGTGGGCACCATTGCAAAAAATTGACCATCACAGCCATGACCTGGGGGTATGCATCCAAACTGCAGTCACTGAAATGGCAACAAAGAAAAAGGAAGGAAGGTGGAAGAAATGAAATGAAATATAAACACACACAAACACACACACTTGTGGATACTCCATTCATGCGCACACACACACACACACATACACATGCATACATGCACATGCAGACACTGGGCGCAGACCCACGTGGGACTCCATAGTCCATTGACAAGAACATTTAAGAGCAAAGGCAGTACATAGTTCAGGTACCGACCTGGCACCTGGCCAATCTGTGTTCATTCCCCATCACTGTATAATGGTCCCCCAAGGCACAGCCAAGAGTAATGCCTGAGCAAAAAGATAGAAATAAGCCCTGAGCACAGTCACTGTGGCACAAAAAAAAAAAAAAAAAAAAAAAAACCAAGCAGACAAAACCAAGTTTCCTGTTTTCAAAAAGCCCATTCAAAGTGGGAGTGACAATCAGGGATGTAGGGTAACCCAGCCAAGGGCATGACTCACACAGAAGAGGATCATTGCACAGGCTAAAGAGGGGAGCAGGAAACCCAAACACAAATGGAGGAAGCTGCTCTATCTGCATGGAAACTGTGTTCCTTAGGTCCTTCCACCCCACTTCTGCTGATAAAAGAACACCTCAATTACCCTCTAATAGGATTTGTGTCCCTGCCAACAAAAGGGTAAGGAAACATGAGAAACTCGCCATAGGAGACATCCTCACACAGGCAGCTAGAGAGGCAAGCAGGGGAGCTGCACAGGATGCACAGGTGATGTTGTGGGGGCGGGTTGAAGTGGGTTGTTTGCAAGAGGGGTGTCTTTAAGGCTGTGGTGTAGTGGAGGTGTGGTTGGTGAATGCAAGACAAACTAGGGTTCCCAATCATCATCCTTGGGGCAAGTTCCTGCCTGTTTAGTGAAAGAAAAGGAGAAAAGAGTGGGGAACAAAGGGACAAAGTACCATCAGGAATTAGGGAAACCAGGAAGACATCCTAAGAACAGAGGACTTGGTGAGACAGTTATTCATTAAATTTTCCCCAGCCCACAATGATTCTTTTCAACAGGAAATGTCCAGATCTGTGTCTACATCGTTTCTTTGACTTCCTAATGGTAGGGACCAAAACGACTAGCTTCAAAAGGAAATACCTTACAGAAAAGAAGCCTTCTCCTTGTGCAAGAACCCCTAGGAGAAGAAGAATGGGCTATTTCAGCAGAAAGTATGAAGTTTTGATTGAACCCCAACTTCCATAGAAATGGAGAGAGAAACTGACAGTTGGAAATGAAACTGGGTCAAAGACCAGTTTAAACCAGGGCAAGCCCACTCCCTAAATCTCACTTATCTGGTTACCCTTCCACCCAAAGTCTCTTCCATGTTTAGATTAGCAGGTAAAAAAGTTCTTCAGGGGACAAGCCCAGGAAGAGAGTTCAGGGGACTGTAGTGTATCCCAGATTCTCTGTCATTTGAAGGGGACCTGGGAGGAAACCTGGGGACACTGATGGATGGAAGTTGACTCTGGGGTAGGACTGTGAGTTAGAGCACAATATGCCTAAAATTCAAACTCAACTTTGAATGCCTGTAAATTACAGTTACTTCATTTAAAACAATAATCTCTTCTATTTAGCTTGTGCACAGGATGGTGGCTGTGAGCACATCTGTCTATCATCTTCCGACCTACTGGCATGTTGTCACCAGTCACATCAATCACATCAACAACACCTGTCACAATCGTAAAATACAGGGAGAGTCATGCAAGCCAGGCTGGCTACACAAGACTTCTAGTCCCTCTGTTCCTCAGTTCACCTCTTCCTACCTGACAGAGATTTAACAGAGCCCCAGTGTCTTTTCACATGTTTTGACACCAAGATCTTGTATGACCATGTTCACCTGCTTTCCCAGCAACAGCCACACCCTGACCACCCTCATTACTGAGCTGAGGGCACAGGCAGCAGCACAGACTTCCTTACTATGTCCTGGCACTGGGCCTCTCAGTGCCCTGGAAAAGGAGTGAGGTAGTCATGGCTCAAAGCTCTGTCCTCTGCATCTTCTCACTGGTCAGACTTCAGGGCATCCTCTGTTCAGATCAGTACCCACGTGCCTCTGTAGCCTATAGATCTTGTTGTATTTTATAGAGTTTGATACAAAGCCCTGGGGAAGGACCCAAAAAGAAGGGAGATGAGTCCCTACCCACCAATCTGCTGAGTTTGAACCACAAAGAGGTCACATGGAGCTGAAGGAAAGAAAGCCATGTCACCCAATTCGATCCCCACCTCACTGCCCTGCCCCTTCCTGACCTACAGTTGTGACTGTGGGGATTCAGGTGGAAATGGAGGTTCCCTCCACCACTACAGTCCACCAACCCACTCCACTGCCTAACAGCTGATGGGGTTTGGACTGTCACTGTCACTGTCATCCCATTTTTCGTGATTTGCTTGAGCAGGTACCAGTAATGTCTCCATTCATTCCAGTCCTGAGATTTTAGCAGCCTCTCCTTATTCATCTTTTCTAATGATACCATATTGGAGGCTCTTTCATGGTCAGGAGAATGAAGCCCGTTATAGTTACTGTTTTTGGCATATCAAATATGCCACAGGTAGCTTGCCTGGCTCTGTTGTGTGAGTGGGATGCCCTCAGTAGATTGCCGGATTCTTGGAGGAAATACTGCTTTGCTCTCTTCTGGGAGCTTTCTTTAATAGACTCAAGAACTTGGCCATTGATGAGATTACCTGGCGCTGGGGGCAGTTTGTGGGTGTGGCAGCCAAGCTACTGGTAAACTGGGGGTCTGGGTGCCCTGGAAAAGGAGTGCGGCAGTCGTTCCCTGATCCGAGCATGCTTGAGACCTCAGCTGTGGGTCCTGCATCCCTGTGTTCCTCTGCTGGTCCCTTCATGCGTGAGGCTCATCCAAGTATGTGGACAACTGGAACTAATCGGGCTGGTACCAGGCTGGAAGCCCTAAGACAAGCAGACACCCCCAAAGTGAGGTTCTCTGTCTCATACACTGAAAGAGGAAGCCTCTGTTTCCCCAGGCCAGCTGCTATGAGCAGTGCCATTTTGGACTGCCTCCATCCTACACTGTTAATATTCCTGTAAATTCCTGGGCTCTTCCTGATAAATTAGGCTCAATGATACTAAGAGACAAAGAATTATAAGTAAGACCAATGGCCAAAAAGACCAGAAATTTGCCAGACTAACCTGTATAATACTTATATCTGTCCCTGGCACCATATAATCTCATCAACGGCCATGATCTAGAGACTCAGAAATAAAGCTCCCAGAAGAGAGCAAGATAGACCTCATTCATGAATGAATCTTCTATATAATAGTATTCTAAATTTCAGAATTCTTGGACCCCTCATACTCCACACCACTGGTGTACCAGAGTAGCCCACAACATTAGATTGTAACAAATATGTTGGTAATATCTTATAAAGGGCTCCTGCCATTTCCAGCTTATCTCAACATCTAGTGTAAGATTGTTCTCTTTCTTCCAGAGTCCTG